TTTCTCTGATATCTTTAGCTTGTGTGCATGATAGTTGGGTTTGGGGGACTGAACTACAGCAGTTGACACAGGAAGTCAGCAGCCTAATAAAGAGGCTAGAGGGCACAGAGTCTCAGTCTCAGACGTCACGGCCACAGACTGGTGGCTGAACGTCTGATGCATACGGCACACAAAATTGGAAAAGCTTCAGGACTTTCAAAGTTGTCATAGGATTAAATTATACAGTATTTCTGGGAGACGTGTTTGCCACATTATTTAACGCCATGAAACAAAGATGCCTTGACGCCAAACCCCCTCATTGAAGAAGAAAGCCGTCACTGTGACGATGAGCGCTTATCAGGATCAACTAGATGCTGGATTTTCAAAAGTATGTGAAATATGTAAAGTTAGTAGAGGGACGCATAAGCACTTCTGACTTGGAGTCATTCAACTGCAGAACATTTTTAGACATCCAATTTTTGATTTCGATGAAGCATGACATAATATGGGATGAATCAATAATACCAGGCTTTACCGGGACATACAATTGTGTATCATCTGCACAGCAGTGGAACTCAATATCATAACTGCGCATAATTTGACCCAGGGGTAACATGTACATAGTAAACAGAAGGGGACCCAAAATAGATCCCTGAGGGACCCCACACAATAAAGGAGCACGAGAGGAGGAGGCATCTCCAAGCACTAATTATAATAGCTATTATAAGCGTTTTTTGGACTTGTCTTTTCCACTTAAGTTGGCACTTTAGAAAGTTAATAAAGTAGGATGTTGCAGTTTAGGGTCAGTGATATCTTTATCTTATCTTATTTGCAAAAGATTTGAAATCATTTATGTTTATTTTTATTTATTTTTCAGTTTTTGTTTGTTTTAATAGCAATATCTGGCAATACTGCATTGCCGGCACTTAAAGTGACAGTAATCAAAAAAGTCCATGGCCAGGTTATTGCTGACAGGATAGCACATTCGGTAAGGGAAGCGCAAAAAAATATCATGATATTATCTCTGTCAGAAACATTATCGACACTGTCAAAAACAGTAGCATATAACATTAGTACACAGATCTGTAGAACAAGTAGGTTACAGAATGAAATTAACACAATAAAGGAGCACGAGAGGAGGAGGCATCTCCAAGCACTAATTATAATAGCTATTATAAGCGTTTTTTGGACTTGTCTTTTCCACTTAAGTTGGCACTTTAGAAAGTTAATAAAGTAGGATGTTGCAGTTTAGGGTCAGTGATATCTTTATCTTATCTTATTTGCAAAAGATTTGAAATCATTTATGTTTATTTTTATTTATTTTTCAGTTTTTGTTTGTTTTAATAGCAATATCTGGCAATACTGCATTGCCGGCACTTAAAGTGACAGTAATCAAAAAAGTCCATGGCCAGGTTATTGCTGTCAGGATAGCACATTCGGTAAGGGAAGCGCAAAAAAATATCATGATATTATCTCTGTCAGAAACATTATCGACACTGTCAAAAACAGTAGCATATAACATTAGTACACAGATCTGTAGAACAAGTAGGTTACAGAATGAAATTAAATATGCAAACACTAGCCATGAAGAAGTCTATGCTATGTCATTTAGTATAGTAGTTACATTTTCACAAATCATGCTAAAATCATTCATAAGAACAATAGACAAAGTTATCAGCTATATAGCAATGGTCATTAATAAAATCTATAACAGTAATATGTATAGGTGCATGAATAATAAGCAATAAAATTATCCACCCCTAACAATAGTAAAGTAGGCTATTAAGAAATGTTGATGCAATAAATAGGGTATTATTTAAAAATGATCATCCCTCCAAAACAGAGAAAACATATTTCACAAAATACATGTCTGTCTCTTTTAAAGTGTTTATAGTGTATATAATGAGTTGGGGTTATTATAGCACAATTCTTTGTGCTATAATAAATAATAAAGACTGATTACCATCAGTCTGAAGGTCTGGCTACGCGAGACTAGAGGGTACAAAGTATTTTGTATTTTGAAAATACAAAAATACTAACTTAAATGCATTAAATACAAATTACAGTTGATTTTTTTCAAAGACTTTAAAATACAAAATAGTATTTTGTATTTTATACCGATAGACATCTCTGTTTATACTGGTATGTGCCTATTATGTGCTGCTTACTTTCACAGTGTTGCTAAAAATGTGTTTTGTAATTTTATTTTCCTGCAAAGATAATAAAACATTCGCTCACAATTGCTGTCAAAACATGAAGGAAATTGTATTTTAGACTATAGACGAAATGTTGATTTTGAGTGTGCCCTGGACGCACCAGTAAGTGGTGAGATGTTTTGGTAATAAAATGATTGTGGCAGAAGAATAGCATGAGAACGTTATTAGGTCGGGTCTCACGGTATCATCTTAGCGAGCTTTGATTACATTTTACGCATGCACGGTAAGATCATTTTAGCATTTTCAGTGTGGATCAGAAGCTTTTGGAAAACGCTTGGAAATGCTGGTGTGGTATTTTGAAACGATAACGACGTATTCAAATGTATCTGGATTAATGATGACGCAGTTTGAGAAGTGCGGATAGATTAAACATAAAAATAAAAATGTAGACTGAATCCATTTCTCACCCCATCATCTCATGTTTTCCACAGTAGGGCAAATACAGGCATGTAAAGATTACCAGGACAATTAGAAGTCCGAAGATCCATTTAAGGAGATCCATCTGAAGGCTTTTGGCTTGTGAGAGAGCAGACACATGTTAACAGGTTATTTAATTCTGAAATCATGATAGAACGAGTCAGAAACAGTGGCAAAAATGAGTTGTATGTTATTATGTTTTCAGCCCTTTGACTTCATATAAGACATTCAAGAAAATAAATGACGAAAATTAAACTCTGAGATAATCGTCATAACAAAATGCTGCTAAGTAGCCTTACAAGGGTCAAATGCTTGAAAAATGTCTTCATAAATATTATATACTGAAAATAGATGTCTAGCCCAAAGTTAAACTTACATGTGTTTTTGCAGAATTGGGAGGCTATAACAACACATAGTATGTGCCAGCTTTTCTTGTAGTTTTACAGTATGCAAAATACCTTGTTTTACACAAGATATTCTATTTTACACTATATGTTCTACGCTTATTATTTAGTTTTTTTACAGTAGCTTACTTTCAGCATCACAATACTATACCCCCTACAAATAAACATTTTAAAAATGACTTTACAGTATTTTAAGGTGTTTGCATACTTTCCATTTTATACGGTAGCCTACAGGTTAACCTGTAAAATAATTCCTATTTGCAAAGGTTTTGTAGAAGTTTTGCTTTGATGGTAAAGCATATGCTTTTTTAGTGAAGTGTTTGTTTGTTTTGTCCTTTCATGGATATTTGATGTTTTGGTTTATAGAATACCGATTTGTTCAGAAGTTCATAGAGATATGTTTGAAAGTGCTCTTTTTTATTTTTTTACAACGTTTATGCTTTTAGACACCTTCATACAGCTATTTTATTTTTCTATTTGTATGTTGAAAATAAGAAGAGTTAACTTACCCGTGGTGCACATAATGCATGGTGTCAGTGTTCCTCTTTCTGACAGGATGCCTCGACCTCAGAATTTACACAGTAGGCTATACAAATATTGCACTTTAGACCTATTGGGGGGTTCATTAACAAGTGATGAACAAAAAGCAAAAGGCTTTATAGGTCAAAAGTTAAAACAAAAAACGCCATTAGACATGAGTGTTTCGATCAGAGGATGAACTGCTGCTTCTGAATAGGCTGAATATATCTGTCTGTATAATCCTAAATGAACCTCACAGACCCTTTTACTGTACACCCAAAATAAATGCAGTACTTAATTACTGACGTTATATTCAGACTATATAGAAGTGGCTCCTGGTGTAGACTGGTTTCATCTTAGGTTTGGTTTTTGATGTTTTTTGTTCATTGCCACAGTCACTTTGGCTTGCATGTTAGGTGAATAAAGATTAAATATTGGTATGTCTTTCGTTTAAATATTGTGGCATGACTTTCATTTAACTTTTCAGTTAAACTGCTCATATAGAAAAAAAATCTTAAAAGCAGTCATTTAAATGCATAATTTAACCGTGACAGTGATCATCAAATAATAATTAGGCTTGTCACTACACCAAACTGTTATGAATTGACCAAAACCTTACAGATTTTATACCTTTCAAACCTTCCATGTCACAGATTTCTATATCACATAATGAATTAATAACTTCAGCTGCTATAAATATCCAGCAAATATCAGCATGCATAAAGCACACAGATTAAGCGATATAAATCTCAGCTGCTTAGTATAGTTCATATTGTCACCAAACTATCCTATTGCAGCTCTAAAATGTGGACAATTAGACATTAAGGTATTACAAACAAACCCATCATTACCAACTTGCTGCTTTGAAACAATGTGTATTGTGAAAAGTGCTATTCAAATAATAATGGACTTGAGTTAAGTTGTTTAATTAGGGAGACATTTCTATAAATGTGCACTGTTGAATGGGCTCAAGGAACAGCACTAAAGCAGATGATAGGAATATGTATCTGTTTCTGTGAAGCACCTAACGTGACAAGAACTTTTGTACAGTATCTATATGTGTTTGTGTGTCACACATTTTGTCAGTGGTGACAGTTTTTTTTTTCTTTCTGTGTTTGTAATGAAGTCTGTTTTGTTGTTCACTTACAAATAGTTCTGGACAAATAAAGCTCTCCCATTATTCTTTCGTTCATATATTTGGTATTTGTCCAGTTTCAGAGCACCTTCTTGTGCTAACATTTGGTTTGTCTCAATAGAAAGCAGAGAAAATAAATGTTCTACTACACACATTAACAATTTAATAGCTTATGTGTGAGTGTAGCAAAAAGTTAAATTACAGACTAATCAACCGATTAAATTTTTTTAATGTATGACAAATAGCCTATAAACTCAGATTGTGATGTTTAGAGGCCAATGTGAAAAAAAGATACATAATCATTAAACTGGAAATAATGAAAATTCTCACCAAACTTCCTGTCTATTTGTCAGACTCATGAGCTGTGTCCCAAAGTTAAGTGCACACACTTCGAAGGGCACTGGCTCCGCCTTCGCAAGATTTCCTAATTGCCACACCAGAGGTTCCCGATTAGCACTCTGTCGCATAGCAACGGTGTGAGAGGAGAGCTGAGGACAATCCTGCCAGGATAGGTGGAGCCAGAATTGCTCATTTTTGTTTTTATGTTTTACGTCATAATGGAGGAGACGGTGATGTACCTCAGGCTTAGCCAAGACCGAGGCCAGGTAAATTACACTGGTTTGCTGCGTCCTTTGTCGGATTACAACTTTAAATGCAGGAATTGGCTTGGAGCTTACTTGAATAATGTAATGATACATATGAAAAGCTATAAAATACACACGCACACACAGCAGTTAAAATGCTGACTGATATCTTACAAAGGTGCGATTTTATAGTTTATTGTCTTGACCATGGTGATCATATGTAGACAGGTTAGCAAAAATAAAACTGTGAATAAAAAATAGAGCATTGTACAGCTCAATGTTCAGCGGCAGCTGTGACAGCTGAACAGTGCTCTGTATGACCGGTCCGAGTCCTTCAGATGCAGCCTTTGATATAGTTAGCAACAATGTGTTAATATTCTGACAAAATGTTGATACTTTCATTTTCAAAATAATCAGTGGTGGACTGTAAGGAAGTACGTTCTTTACGTATTCTCGAACAAATATGAAGTACTAAGTTTTCTTTTTTCTCACAGACCACAACAACACTATAAAAATATGGTATTTTACAACATGATGCATTGATACCCAACAGTATATTTAGTAGGCAACTTTAAAT